GTAGTTGTCATTTTATACTTGTCATTTCCATAAGTTGCATATATTTACTCTTTAATTTGCTTAATTTTAATGGTTTGGACAAAGCAATAAGGCAAGAACTACTTGAGGTAGAGCATAGAATGTGTGGTAGACACATTTAGGTTAATTGGCAAAAGAAATGGAGGGGTGAGAAGAGAAGGAAAAAGTTTTGGGCGGTTGCAAGGACACCATATGAGGCCTTATTGAAGGAAAAACTTAAACGAATGGCAAAGTTAGGTAGAGGGATAGTTGAGGACCTATTGTACCATAACATTAACATTAGTGCAGGGCATTTTTCAGTCCCAATTCCCAATGTGATGTTTTAGAGAAGAATTTGTCTGAAACTTTCAATAAGAGGATCTTAGGTGCTAGAATGAAGTCAATTATTAGTATGTGTGGGGAAATTAGGACAGATATGATGGAGAGAAGTAGAACAATGAGGGAGTTTGCAAGTATTTGGATTTATGACATCTCACCTGTTGCTATGAGTATCTTAGAAACCAATAAAATTTATACAATGCATTGCACACCAAGATGGAATGGCCAATATGGATTTGAGGTTGTTGAGGGAGAATGGGAACATATAGTTGACCTTAGAGCAATGACATGCACTTGTAGGTCATGGGAATTAAAGGGTATACCATGTGCATATGCAATTTGTGCTATGTTCCATAGAAAATTGGAATTAGAGATTATGTAGCTCATTGGTATAGAAAGGGTACATACTTGAAGGCTTACTCAAATTGCATTCAACATGTGTTTGGAATGAAGATGTGGCCTGAGTCTAACAATCCATTAGTCCATCCTCCAATCATAGAGAGAAAAAACCAGGGAGAAGGAAGCTTTCAAAGAGGAGGGATAAAGATGGACCCAAAAAAATGATAGAGAAGACAAGCAGGAAGGGTGTAGTTTTTACTTGTGGAAAATGTAAACAACTAGGGCATAATGCAAGGTGATAGCCCTTTCTAAGGAAAAATAGCTCAACATGTAATAATTCAGTTAAATTTCATTGCTATGTATTACAGAATAATTATTTAAAATAACTTGATTGTGTATTGCTTTTCATTGGTAGGCTTCTTAAACACATTTGGCCCAAATTCTACAGTAGATCCATCACAAGCAACTCCCTAAGCAACTCCTTCACATCAACTTTCCATTCACATGTAGCAGCTCTTACAACTTCTGCTACCCACAAATAAGCAGCACCACCTCCTAGTACAGCAAGGCTTGCAATTGGAGCAAGATGTTCAAATCCAGATTGTGGGGCATAACCCATCCATTTCAAAGAGGTATATAATATTATAGCATTGTGTGTTGCTTGTGAAAAATTGCATATGCTAATGGGCGAATATTATGACTGATAGACACAGATGTGAGAAGCACTACCACAATTTTGAGTTATATGGTAAGGACTCCATATTGGACAAAAGATATCGTGCAACTGGTAATGGAATCATAGAGAGAAAAAACCAGGGAGAAAGAAGCTTTCAAGGAGGAGGGATAAAGATGGACCGAAAAAAAAAATGATAGGGAAGACAAGCAGGAAGGGTGTAGTTTTGACTTGTGGAAAATGTAAACAACCAGGGCATAATGCAAGGTGATTGCCCTTTCAAAGGAAAAATAGCTCAACATGTAATAATTCAGTTAAATTTAATTGCTATGTATTACAGAATAATTGTTTAAAATAACTTGATTGTGTATTGCTTTTCATTGGTAGGCTTCTCAAACACATCTGGCCCAAATTCTACAATAGATCCATCACAAGCAACTCCCTAAGCAACTCCTTCACATCAACTTTCCATTCACATGTAGCAGCTCTTACAACTTCTGCTGCCCATAAATAAGCAACACCACCTCCTACTACACCAAGGCTTGCAATTGGAGCAAGATATTCAAATCCAGATAGTGGGGCATAACCCATCCATTTCAAAGAGGTATATAATATTATAGCATTGTATATTGCTTGTGAAAAATTGCATATGCTAATAGGTGAATATTATGACCGACAGACACAGATGTGAGAAGCACTACCACAATTTTGAGTTCTATGGCAAGGACTCCATATTGGACAAAAGATATGGTGCAACTGGTAATGGAAAGGGTCCTGGAAGAGGAAATATGTCAATTTTTGACCAAGGCAATAATGACAACTCTGGTGGTAAGGGAAATAACAGAGGAAGTGCAAGAGGAAGTGCCAAAGTAGTTGAGAGAGGAAATGGTAGAGGTACTAGGAGAGGAAATGGAAGAGGAATTGGTACAGGGCCAGGCAGAGGTGCAGCTAATGCAAATGCCCTATTTAGAACTAAAAGGAGATTCCAGTAGCCAACTGCAAGTTCACAAGCAAAGAGGCAATGTATCCCTAGAGGTGTTGTGTATATATTAATGAAGCATCAGGTCTTTCAATGTACCAAGTATATTATGCTTTTTAATGTGTATGTAATTTTGCAATCTTGGTCTAATGCTTTAAGGTGTTGGTCTTGGTCTAATGGTTTCTTGTATTCTGCAGTATTCTGCAATCTTGGTGTAATGCTTTAAGGTGTTGGTGTAATGCTTTCTTGTATTTTGCAGTCTTCAGTTACTGTAGGCAGCATCAAAAGGAATTAGGAGCTCAGCTATTGTGACTGGAGATTTGAGATTTAAAGCACCTGGTTTGAAGTGAAAAGGGAAAAATGCAGTTACAGTAAGACAGCTCCAATAGAAATGAGACAGAGCAAATGCACAAAGATCTAGCAGTAGACCATCAACATTTCTAAGCTTCAAGGAAGGTGGAAGTAGCCAAGCTTCATAAGCTAGCAACAACCCACTCTTGTAGCTACTAGGACTGGTTTTAAATTTTGTATAGAAATCCAAATACTATGAATTGTTTTTTTTTTTTTTGTATAATCTGACCTATTTATGCTTATTAGGTCAGATTAACACATTCCCAGAATGTAGAGAATGTTCTAACAATTATTTTGGCACTTAATTTTCCTATTTATTTCAATCTCAATCTAATTTTATGTTTCAACCATTATTTCTTATTTATGTGTCTTTGAGATTTTTATATATATGTCTTTCAGATTTTAACTTCAATGTGTTTGAGATTTTCATTGCTATGTATTTCAAAGATATTTGACAATAATAGTTCATAAGTAATAGGACCATTTTATTGCATTCCAAGAACAATAGGTACATGGTTGTAACTTACAACAAAATTAAAATTCCACAAAATCAACACAGTGTGTACTATTTCTTGTCACACCACAATTCCACAAAATCAAGCAACTCCCCTTATACCCGCCACTATTTTCATCATTATAACAACCATTTCCCTAATGCAGCAATTGCACTAATATTTCCCTCACCTACCAACGCAACAAACATTTAATGTCCTGCATAGGAAACATAAACACAATGCCAACAAGCATGACCTTCAATCATCTCCTCCTTTGTTTCCTCTTCTCTTCCTCATTCATCTTTATTTTTCTCAATAAAGTCAAAATCACGTGTTGAACGTGATCTGGCATTGGTGGATCATGCCACTAAAAGAAATTGCAGGACATAACTCTCTGCAAGAAAAGAAGCAAAAAGATGCATATTAATTATCAGCCAATTAATATAATGTGTTATAATGGAATTCTCTCCACTTTCCCCATATTGTCAATACCCAAAGAATTGACGTCCAGGATTCGATTCTATGTATGATATCTTCAATCGAGCAATTTGCCCATAAATGCAATCTGGAATTGGGTAATCAAGGGGATCATACATCACTAAGGAAACCCTAAATTTTGAATGAGGTGACCAAATCTTCCCTATTTCCAGTAAATTTCATTTCTTCACTCACCAATTTTTATTGCCTTCAATCCTGGATTTACTTCTTAGAGGATCTATTTTTCTGAAACAAAAGAAGAGAGATTATGGTCTCTCTTTCATCAATAACAGATATAAATATTGGGAATGAGAAAGCTCTTACTCTCTCTTTAAAGTCAATATTTAGCCATTATTCATTATCCACGGTGGAAAACTTAAGTGGCAAACATGGCTCAAATAATAACCCCTCACACTCCAATTTACATTTGAGTTCACGCTCGCATTATCCTACAATGACAGGGACAAGGTTACCTAAAGGAATTTGAAGTACAAGGTCATCATAGAACCCCCACTAAAGTTCAGGGGGCTACTAGGAGAAACGGTGAAAATTCAAGGGCAGATTTATGTATTAGGCCATTTAAATAAGGGTAACATAGAAAATACGTCATTTATTACCCTTTAAACACTCAAAACGACTTCCATTTTGGATAAATAATCACCTAAAAACAACATATATTTTAAGACCAAGGGAGTATTTTTAATCATAGGTATCTGCAAGTACCTACCCATTTATTAGTAAAAATGCAATTTGGTACTTTAAATGGATTTTGAGATGGATATGGGTAGCAAAATTTTAAACGGAGAGGGACATGAGTACTTAAATGGAAATTTGAATGAATTTGAGACGGATACATATAGTAAAATTTTAAACAGATATGAGTACAAATAGTTCAAAATTCACATGTATAACCGCTTCCATTCCTATTAAAGGATACTGACCACAATCATTAAAAATAACCAAAAGAACAAATAATAATTTTTATTTTGTGAAGAATCCACCAAGTGAATAATGGTTTGAATATAAAAATATATAAATAACCAAATGACATTTTTTATTAAGACATGTAATCCATTCGATGGTTTTGAAAAAAAAAAAAATTTTCTATATATAGAGAGAGAATTGAAAACAATAAAAATAGGGAAATTACATGGAAAGAGAGAATTGAAAACAACAAAAATAGGGAAATTACATGGAAAAATCAACCTAGACAAAAAGAAGGTAACAATCTTTTTGTGTCGTGATAAAATATTATATTTCCAAAGAATCTGTATGCACTATAAGTTTCTGATTTTGTTGTAATGAATTATGAAGAGAAAGAATTTAGATTAGCGGTTCGTAGAGATTCTTCTCAAGGAAAGAAATGAATTGCTTTATTTTCCAAAAGGAAAGCTCTTTGCAAATGCTGCATCCAACCACAAAAACAACAACATCTTCTCATTCTAGCTCTCACTCTGCAAATTCCTTCTCTTACTCGATTTCCTCTCCAGCAGATTCATTCACCATCGACACGGCTGAATCGCGTGTGGGTTCAGTTCTCCGCCCAGCAGCAGCAACATCCGATGAGGTACAAAATTCCCACAATGGCCAAAAAATCCCCTTTTGATCATCAAAAGTAAAATTTTAATAACAGTAATATTAATTATCAGCTGCAACAGAAATCACAATCACAGTCCACACAGCTGCCGGTGTACTATATTAACAAGAATGATTTCAGAAACGTGGTTCAGCAACTCACCGGACCTCCTGCTTATGAAAGCTTCTCTGCTCCTCCGTCTATTCACCTGCCCAAGCCTCCAAGCTCTCGCTTGCAGGGTATCCGTCCTCCTCCACTGCAAATATTACCAATCGTCCGCTTCCGTTGATAAACAGCAACATCCCTCGTCAACCACCGAAAACTCCGATTTCTGCTTATATGTGTTATATTATGAACTCAATGTCAGATTCCAATCGCCCGCCTCCTTTGATAGATAGCACCATCCCTCCTCGTCAACCAACGGAATCGCCGATTTCTGCTTATTTGCGTTATATTCGAAACTCAGAATCTGATCCCCATAATCAACTTTCGTAATTCTCGTCTCTTAGGCCACTGGTTTCTCCTAGCCGGAATAATATACCTCCACAACAGCCTGCGCTCCAGCAAAATCAACAATCATTTGCACTGCAGCAGGGTTATTCTCTCGCCGACATGGGGTTTGGGTGGTTCACAGCCGCCGTTCACTTACCACCTTCACTGCTGCCGTTTGGGTGTTTCTACTCACCGCGCCCTTTGCTTTCCTCAGATCTGTTGTTCTCACCTTCTCCATTTCCGCTGTCGCCGACATTTCCTTAGGCAAGTGTTTTTCTATTTTTACACCTTGTTGTCGTTTAGAATTAGAAACTTTTAGGGCATTAATGCATATCTTCTGTACATATTTGGGTGTTTATTGGATTATCACTAGTTGGGTCGATCAAGTGCTCGACACTGTTTCTTTCTGCTTATCGCCGTCATTTCTCTTATATGCCTTTTCTTTTAAAAAGCACTATTTAGTGTTTGCGTCTTTTCCATTTATTTATTTGTTAATTATTATAGTGGGCTGAGCATATAAAATGAATTATTCTAAGAAAAAAAGAAACATATAGTAGTTTAATATTGAATGGCCTATTGTAAAAGTAAGTGCATTGGGTGATTTCCCAGCAATGAAATTTCGATGCAGCACATAAGATATTAACATAATTATATCTATTTATGAATTAAATCAATGAAAATAAAAATATTTTTAAAATTATTTCTAGCTTATTATTTTTTTTCTGTAAAAAATATTCATTTTTTAATATAAAATTTTCTATTTTAATTAATTTGATTCATGCGTGAAGCCACAAACCTAATATAGGCAAGTTATCCCATTAGAATCTAGGTTTATTTCCATTTTCTTTACTCTTGCTGTTTCCATCTCAGCTTTAAAAAAAAAAAGAAAGAAAAGAAAATTCTCATTAGAATATGAATTCAAATTCAAATGATTTATTGTAATAATTTGATGTTAAAGTGATAAATTTGAGGTTTAAATTTAAAAAAATTGATTGTTAATCACCATAAAAGAGGTCGAATGCATAAATATTAATCCCTGAACCTAGCCTTTTAGTTGGAGTAACAACAGTTTGGTTTGATCATAATAAGTACTCCATCTATTCCATTTTATTTACATAGTTTGACAAAATGCACATATTAGAACTTAGTCAACAAAAATAATTTAACCTCTTTTTATCCTTAACTTATTAAGATAATAATAAAAGTCATTCATTTAATGAACAATTATCAAAGTTTTAAAGGAAAAATAATTGTTTAAATATATAAATTTTACTTAAGATAATAGATAAACAGTCCATTCATCTTAACCTTAACTTATTAAGATAATAATAAAAGTCATTCATTTAATGAACAATTATCAAAGTTTTAAAGGAAAAATAATTGTTTAAATATATAAATTTAGAAATATTGCAAATACATTGGGATATCTTAAAAAAACGAATAACAAGCAAACAAAATGGGCAAAATGGGACGAAGAATTTATTTTTTTTTAAAAAAAATTAAATTAATTGTAGATTTTAAAGTTTATTTATAAATTTGTTCAACTTTTAATTTTGAACCAAATTGAAAAGAATAAAGATTTAAAGGATAAATTGGGCGTTTATGTATACTAAATTAGTTTTTCTTTACCTACTATGTTTGTTGTACAAATTACAATAATTTTGACATAATTTCTAAGAAATGCATAAATTATATCACATGCATAATTTTGACAACTTTTTATCATATGCATAGCAATTTGTTTTTCTTAGGTACGGCACTGGCAATAAAAGATCAATTGTATGGATAATGTATTTTTCTTGAATTTAATTGTCAATATTTTTTTCATATGCATACTAATTAGAATTGCTTGACTAGAAATTACTTAGAAAGGCCAAAAAAAAAAAAAAAAAAAAAAAAAAAAAAAAAAAAAAAAGGACTACTACCTATTTACATTTAGGTTTTAAGGACCTACATTTCGTTAAAAAAAAAAAAAAAAAAAAAAAAAGGACCTACTACTATTTAATTAGGTTTTAGACTACATTTCGTTTCATATGATAAAATAATATATTTGCCAAAGACTCTACATCGCAGTATAAGTTCGTGATTTATAAGGAACCAATCAAGAGGAGAACTGAGATTAGCCACTCGGAAGCAGTAGTAGGTCTGACAATTTCGGAATGGATTACTTTATTTTCCAACAGGAAAGCTCATTCCAAATGCAGCTTCCAACAACAAATCTATCACTAACCACAAAACAAACCCTTATTTTATTTTTTTAAAATTGAAGATAAAGACAATTATGTCCAAATCCATCGGAAAGCAGGCGAGCAATAAGAAAATGGACTCTTTTATATTCCAAGAAGAAAACTACGTTCAAATCTATCCCGCTAGAAGTCTAAGCACAAGAGATCAATTCAGCTTCGCAACAACTCTATCACTTTGTGATAATATCAGTAAATATATATATTAATAAATCTATTTCTAACTACCATATCCCTCTAAAAAATCTCTCTCAAATCACCCAATTACTGAAACAGAATCTCACTGTCTGATTTCCTGACACGTACCTCTACTATAAATAAGGGACATTTTCTTAAAGATCATGAGATAACTAGACATTAGGGGTATTCATAAACTACCCAAACTGAACCAGTATGAATCAAACCAATAAAAACTGTAGTTTTAATAACTATATGATTTGATTTGATTTATAAAATTTAAAAAATCGAGCTAATGATTTGGTTTATGGTTTTCTGGTCCAAACAATCAAAACTGCCCAAATTATTTATTAAAACTACACCGTTTTATATGGATTAAAACTCTACAATTTTATATGAAATATCTAACCTAAAACCCAGCGCTAGTCGCTAGCAATAAGCTGACATATTATCTTCCCTCTTCTTCTCTCTTCATACTCTGTTTGTCATTTTTCTCTCTTCCCAAATTTCAGATTCCAGAGCTGGCTATTCACCATTAGTAGCTATCATCACTACGCTTTCCTCAATTCACATTGAGCAAATCGACAATTTTGAGATTATTTCATCCTAGCAAGAACAAGTTAAGGTTTTGTTTCAAGTGGATTTTAAGTTTTAATTATTTTAAAAAAATTACTATTTGTTTGGTTTATGGATTTGTCATGCTATTTTTCCATGATGATTTTTCTTTTTTCCTTTTTGTTGGGCATGATATGATTTATAGGATATTTAATTGATAATCATAGTTTTAGTATTCTTTCATTTCATATTATGCAGCTCATTTTTGGCTGTGAATTTTAATATAATTAGAACTATCTAGCAGAAAAATATTTAAAAAAAATAAAAACTTTAGGATGATGTAAGAGAAGAATATTTTATTATCTTCTAGCAAAATGCTTAAGGATTCCTTTTTATATGTGTTTGTCTTTGTCTACAAATACTGCATATGAACAACAATAATATAATAATATATGTGAAAACATCTGCATCAAAACTTGCGAAATATTTTGTTGCTTTGGTATACATTTTAGAAAATTTTGGATTCCTTATTATCTTCTCTTCCTCTGTTTGATTTTATTTTATTTTTGCTACTTGAAAGAATTACTTTCCAAATTCTAACTTTATTTGAAAAATGAATGTAATAGAAATAAAAATATAATAATGTGAATCCAATCTAGGTGTGTGTTTTTGGTTTATGGGTTTTGTTTTTTTTTGGCAGAACCTTTAGATTGTTTTTTTTTTGGACTGATTTATTAAAATGGTTAAGGAACTTTTGTTGATTTCACACATGTATTAGTTTGCCGTTATAGTAGTAATTAGTCATTTACATGGTTAAGGTTTTTTTTTTTTTCTCTAACTCTAACGAAGCACTTGGAAACAATAAAATTTATAAGAAAACACCTTTTTTTTTTTTTTTTTTTTTTTTTTTTTTTTTTTTACATGGTTAAGGTTTTTCTTTTTTTTCCTCTACACTCTAACGAAGCACTGGAAACAATAAAATTTATAAGAAAACCCTTTTTCTTTCTTTTTTTATTTTTTTTTTTTTTTTTTATATCTCTTAACTTCTAAACCTAAGCATTTTTTTTTTTTTTGTCTAACTAGATGATGAAGAAGTAATCACCTTAAACTTCATCAGCGGCTAATATTGAGAAAAATGAATTACCAATTTCATACTCACAAGACTGTTGAACCAGTAAATACAACGATGGAGGTAAGAAACCACTCATTCCTCAAAAAAAAAAAAAAAAAAAGGGAAAGCAGACCTCTCTTAAAAAGATTTCAGTAATATGGGATCATTTTTAACTAAGCATGACGAACACGAAAAATCTAAAAAAAAAAAAAAAAAAAGGGAAAAGAGACTTTTAAAAAGATTTCAGTAATATGGGATCATTTTACTAAGCATGACGACACGAAAAATCTTCGTGCATCATGTAACTATTGTGGTGCTTCTTATGCAAATGATCACAAAAAAAGTAGGACTAGTAACTTGTGGATTCATTTAGAGAAAAAATGTAGGAGATATCTTTATAGGATAATTGATTAAAAAAACAAAAAAATAAAAAAAAAACACTTAGTTTTGAACCTAAAAAAGATGCTATGGAAAGTGATAATCATATTGTTGGCACTTTAAAGTTGCTAAATATGATCCTGAAGCAATTAGAGAAGTATTGACAAAAATGATTATAACTGTGAGTTGCTCTTTAAAATTGTTAAAGGTGAGGGATTTAGAAATTATTCTCAACTATTAGAATCAAGATTTGTTGTTCCTTCTCGTATTATAGTTTGGAGATATTGCATGAAACTTTACATTAAGCATAAAAAAGATTTAAGAAAGAAATTAAACAATCAACGTGTGTTTAACGACTGATACTTGGACATCCATTTACAATTATAATTATGTGTGCTTAACTGCCCATTGGATTGACTAAGATTGAAAGTTACAAAAAAGGAATACTGAACTTTTCTCAAGTTTCTAATCACAAAGGTAAAACAATTGGGAGGATGATAGAGAGTTGTTTGCTAAAATGCGGTATTGAGTATGTCCTCACAAT